ATTTTATTTATTTATTTATTTATTTATTTATTTTATTTATTTATTTATTTATTTATTTATTTACTTATTGCCACCTTTCTTTCTGTCTTTGGCCTGTGTGGTCTCTTTTCCAGATCTCTCCTAAATGCCTGACTCCTTTCTTCTCCCCACTAGGTATCTCTCTTATCTTCCCAAAGTTCAGCTCAGAATTCCTTTATACTCTATGATTTTGATAGATTATGTACTATCAAATCTTGTGTTGACTCTTAGAAACCACAGAGATAGATTTAACCCCCACCATATTAGAGATAATTTTGGACACTCTAGAAACAACTTCCTGGCCACTGGCCTTGTTGATTGGAGCTGGTGTATGTTGAAATCATAGCATCTGGCAGGCACTAGGTTGTGGAGTCCTTGGGGTTCTTTGAGCTCGGTTCTTTTCTTGTAAACGTTTCATTACCCAGCTAGGTAACATCTTCAGTCCTAAAATGGGATGGGGTTTGCTCTCTGTTTATATGCCACAGTATATAAATAGAGAGCAAACCCCATTCCATTCTAGTACTGAAGATGTTACCAAGCCAGGGTAATGAAATGTTTGCAAGAAAAGAACCGAGCTCAGAGAACCCCAAGGACTCCTCAGTTCAACCCTGAGCTACACATATTCGCCTCTATGGGCACTAGGTTGCCGGTCTATCCTGGCTCTAAAAGCTGATAGAAACTGGCAGGAAAAGAATGCTGACATGGCATATGCCAGTGCCAAAAGAGTTATCTGCTCATAGTTCTGGGCCAAACAGCTTGCCTCCTTTTTATCATTCAAGAAATTAAATATAAAAATCTAGAAATGGGGGGAGGGAGAGATTTTGTAGAAAACCAGTGATGCTGTCTTTATTCACATAAACACAGGATTGCAGCAGATTAATCATGTGGCAGATTATGCTTGCTGTACAGTTCTTGCCCTGTGCCAGGGGTGTCATCAAGATATGGTCAAAAAAGTCAAGAAGGTGACCATGACATGTAAAAAAACAGGTGAAGCTTCATTCGCATCCTTTTATTTATTTATTTAAAACAAAGAGATAATATCAATAAGAGGACAAAGGAAATTACTGAAGTTATGCAATTAATGCTCAATATAATATTAATAAAAGATAGATCATACCAGAGAAAGTACGAGTTGCTTTTATTTTATGAAAAAAGTATACATCTTTGCGATTAGCACCAAAATCTCCACTATATTTTTATCTGTAAAAAGAAAAGGAAGGAAGGAAGGAAGGAAGGAAGGAAGGAAGGAAGGAAGGAAGGAAGGAAGGAAGGAA